AACTGAGAGGGCTAGAAACATAACTGTTGATAAGACTAGGCAGACAGCAAAGTCAACAGATAGTTTTACAGGTGTCGACTATAGATGTGATGAACCACCTGATGGTGATTGATAGGGTGTGGCGCTAACGAAGGATGGTGAGTCATAGAGACTCGTGGCATGAGATGTGATGATGATGTCCAGCTGTTGGCGAGGATTTCAAGGTCAAATTGTTTCTTGACTCGGCTCTGCAAGCTAGACGATAAGTACCGCCTTTTGTCGATCTCGCGAGTTGTCGATCTCGCGAGTTGTAATTTTGAACTTTCTTCTTGTCAATTATCGTTTTATCTTTCTTCCAGCTTAGACACTAAACTTCTCCTTTGTCTCGAACAATGAGCCTTTAAGTTCATACACTTGTGGTGAAGAAAACAATTTTGTTCTAATTAAAATGAAAGGTTCAATGCTTTATTCTAAAATCATTCACAACAATTTTTTATTAAAAATGAATCATTTGAGAGTGCTAATAAGTAACGCATCATATGATCATGCACATGGTGCCACCTCACTGATGCCTGACGGGCATCACTTAAGAGGCAACTCTCTAGAGGAATTTTGGATAGATTAGTTTGTCTATTTTTGGCTGACCGTCCGTTGATGAAAATAATATTTGGTAGGAAAAATATGTACATTTGCTGTGAAAATACTTAATACGCAATTTGCTGGTGACTCGCGAATTAACGACAACCATCTAAAGGCCCATTAACGGAAGCGATTCGACTGATTTACTTAAAATCCAAATTGAGCAAAAGAACTAGGATCAGTTAGATATTGCTTTTTTTTTTGTGTGTGTGGTGCTTCTGTTTATCTTTTTTTTAAGCAATCAATAACGTTGTTTTGTGAAATTTTTTTAACATACTTATCGAAATTGTTTCTACTTCTAAGGCGTTTGCTTTTAGATGCCACATCAGAATGCTTTTAAAAGTAACTTCTATATGTTTTTTAGTTTATACAGCGTACGTGACATTTATCATTTGACAATAATATTTAAACATAGTTTTGCCAAGCACCTAAACTGATTTTGTAAATAGCTTTTGTTATATGGTTATCAAACGATCATTTTATCAGACTAGCCCTTAATCCTATGTGTACTCGACTTATCCATCAAATTATTTTTCGTTGCGGAACAAAATTAATGCTTCTGTTACTTAGACCAAACAGATATGAAACTGAATCACGTCAGATGCTATCTTCGTCTTGACTCGCATACGACGATAATAACATGGAAAACTTAGAACTTTGGATATCAGAAACAAAAAATTCAGTTTGTTTTTTTGTTTTCAGCCCGAAGAGCATTAATAGTATGAACAGTGAATTTCTCGCATAATTAATTCTGCGGACAAAGTTGTTAATCGGTCGACCCCACACGGTCGCTTTCGCTAGTTGTTTGCTCCACAGACACAGCTAGATGCCAGCTATTAAGAGGCCTCACGAGCAGAATAAGTCCGAAGCCCCTCTCAAGCCTGCGGGTCTTTTTTTTTTTTTTGCTTTTTCTTACTTTTTTTTTATAGTCAAGATCAATAGCTGGATTCTTATTCTTATGTTATAAAGTAATGATAAGCTAATTTCAAGAAGATTGTAGAGACTCCACCCCTCACCTTGATTTGATAAACAATTCCCTCTTCAGTTCTTTAAAAAAGTGACTACATTTATTGCAAATTTTCATGTGGGTGATAAATGTATACGAAGAACAGCAAAACAAAACATTTTCTTCTATACAACAACGCACCATCCTTTCCCTCTCTCTCTCTCTCTCTCTCTAGTCTCTAGTATTAACAAAAACAAACAAATAAACACTAGCTTTGCCCCCCCCTGCTGTCATATAGCCATTATTATTATTAAGTAAAAAATATTCAGGGGCATCACCTCTCTCTCTCTCTTTTTTTTTTTTTTTGTTCCAAATGTTTTTCTCTTCTTTTTTTAAAGAAAAACTCTCACTCGTTCTGTTGGCAGGTTGTGAATTTAGACCGCTGACCGAAAGCCCCGAGCATGTGACATGCTACCTCCAACAATTTGCCTGCAATAATAAAAAATAAAAACACAAAGAGACAGATTTTATGAGGAAAATTGTAACTCTGAGCTCAACAATTTATCTCACAATAACAAAAGTCATTTTATAACTACCCATAACAAAATGAGACGCGTTTTGTAATTATAAAAAAGTAACAACTACATATTCTTATAAACTACAAACTCCAATTGCAAAAATTTAGTTCTATTCATCCAAAATTTTAGTAGCAAAAAAAAACATGCGGCACCCACCAAACTCCTCATTATGAAGGCATTACCTCACAATGGTCTAATGTACCTTTGTAATTGGACAACCAAAAGCCAGCTCACTGAAAGCGATTACCCACCATTTCTTTCTTTAATATATAACTACTCCTTTTTTATTTCTAATTCACTAAATAACATATAGACAGATCCATGTATTTTTACCTACGGACCCTTTTTCCTCTTGAGAATGTTTACTTCAATAAAAAGTGTACATAATTGAGGTCTAAACATTGTACTTGACATCATCGGAAGTCGATATTTTACCTTTTAAATTGCAGCCATCCCTCAAGTGCAACCTCCTCCATCTTAATTTTCTAGTTAAAACTAATTATTATTATTTTCAGACTAAACTATTCTTTCATCATGGTCAGTTTGGCAAGTTTTTTAGACCACGGGCTTTCCCGATTGTTGGATCTTGGTCCGATTACCGTTGCACTTTAATCTGGTGAAGTCAGCTTGGCTAACGATACCTTAGTTAATTAAAATAATAATTAAGTATTAGGTTTTTTTTAACAACTCAACCCGAAATCAAACCCAAAACCGCTTAAGAACCTCTCAATCGGCCACGTCAATAAATAAGTACTACTAATATTGTAGGAAAACTACAAAAAAAAAATACTATGATGAATTAGGAGGTAAATTTGAAAATAGTTTTCTAACCATAAAAATAATTAATTTCTAAGAGTATACGTATGATTTAATAAATTAAAAAAAAAAGAATTTCCAACAGACGGGCAAAAGAAATTTTTGAAGGCAAGGCACCTCCCAGCCCCCAACCCCACCGAACCAGCCCGCCATTGGAACCGATGCAATCCCCGTTTATTATTTTCGCCCCATAAAGTTTTTCCACGTTACGCTCACCCCCTTACCGTCACCCCCCGCGTATCATACCCATACCCAACCCTCACCGGGCGAGGGACAAAACAAAAATCCCTCCGCGACGGCGCAACAAACAAATCCCGCACATTGCCAGAGCGCAAACAAAAATCCTCACTCTTCTCATCCGAGCGCCCGCGAAGCCTTCACCTTCTTCTTCTGCCACCGCCGCGGACCGGGCGCCCGTCCGGCGGCCCGCCGGCGTCTCCTGCCTCGCGCGGAAAAGCACGGGAATCGATCCCCGAACAGAGATCTGCACCGTCCGTGTAGGTAGCATGTCGGATCGACAGGTAGGCCGACCCCTCCCCCTGCCGAACTTCACCGACCGTCGGGCCTCATCTGCGACCACCGTTTGGGGCAGCCTCAGCTGTCGTACTTCACCTTCCCGCAACCTCCTCACCGAGGTGTACATGCCTCTCCTCGGTCTGGTACTCGGGGAATCAGGTGGTAGTAGCGATCTGCTCGGGGCGTCCGGCCCGGGCTCGCTGAGCTTGTTCGCCGTCAGCTTCCCATCGCCTCATCGTTCGGGGCGAGCGCACGGTGAGCACCGTAGCCCTCGACACGCAGGCGGCCCATTTCGGTGCGAGGTTCGTGAGTTGCGAGATGTCGGCGAGCTCGTTGTAGCCGCCGTAGAGCGATTAGCGGTGTGATGAATCCTTGACCTGGCTCTCCCCGTCGAAGTGGCCGCTTGCCGGATTCCGGGACCCGGAGCGGGCCGCCGGCGCGATGACGGCGCCCGGGAGCCAGCGCGTGCGTAGACCGGGAGCGCCGGTCGGACCCCGGCTGCGGACCGGGCGCGTGCCTTCTTGAGGCGGTGTGTCGCTCGGTCGACCTCCGGCGGCCTCGCGTGGTGAGCACGGCGCGACTGGCAGGCCAGGCTTCGGCCGGCGATTAGAAGTCCTTCCGCACGGACCTATGGGATCAGCATCGCTCAGATGCCAGTGGCATGACCCGTCGGCCTGACGACGGTCGTCCGCGGGCGTGATGACGGCGACGGCCTACCTTGCCCGTTGGACACGTGGATTCTCGTCGCCGGAGAGGCGCGTAGCGGAGTGGGACCGCGCTGAGGGAGTCGCGGTGGGAGGGCTGCCCGGAATGACAGTGAAGAGGAGCGAGGCGTTTGGAAGGGAGTTGAGGTGCGGGGCTCCCCGAGGAGGAACGCCTTGACCTCCGCGGGGTCGACGTCTCCGTAGGGCCTTCGTTTTGGTGCCGCGAAGATGGTGATTTTGTGATTCCGCGAACGGGTCCTAGCGTCTTGGGAGGAGGAGCCGCCTTCTCGACGAGCTCCGCGCGCAGCTCGGCTGTAGTGAGCGGAGTCGAGGCGAGAGCGACGAGGACGAAGTGTGGATTGATGCTCCGTTGACGCAGTCTCGCGCCGCCGGCAATGCGGGCAATGCTGACGCGGCGGAGACGAAGAAGATGGCCGCGGCGACGAGGAGAGCTTTAGCGCCGCCATAGACCGGGGAATCCATGGCGCCGGCGGTGGGCTCTAGATCTTTGCTTCTCTTTTTCGATTTATTTTGCTTTTTCTTTTTTTGAGTTTTTTTCTAGGAGTGAGAGCGGACTTGAAAGTTGGGATTAAATGGAGCTTTGTATATTTTGGTGGACTTTGTGTTTTATAAACTAGTTGGCTTTGCGTTGGGACTTCAGTACTCTTTGAGGACAGATGGAGGTGGACACGTGGCAAGATCCGGATGCCTGGTGACAGGCTGGTGAGAGCGGGAGTAGGGACCACAATAGAAACCCACCGCTGTGAGTCGTCGGCTGCACGGTTGGGCCTGGCTCCCAATCTAAGGCAGCTCTACTCAAAGGTGCCCGCTTTTTCTTCCACTGACAGTAATTTTGGAGCGAAACTACCGATTCAGCCCTCAAAACATCACGAAGGCGTAAAGATTCAGGGGGCACAATAGGAATTTAGTCTGTCAGCTGCCTTTATTCTCGAGCAGAGGGATTAAATTACTGAGAAGTTGGGTGTTTTAGGTGGGAAGTAACTTTTGGGTAAAGAATGGGGAAAGGAGAGGACGACAGCCCACGGGAAGGAGGGGCAAAATAGACATTTTCGTAAGAGCGACTCCGCGTATTGTTCATATCATAAAGAGCAAGCTGAGCTGTCGCTGTTGGACAATGACTTGTATGATAACACATGTTTCTCTGCCGCTGATGATGAAATAAAAATGTACTTAATTTTTAATTATTTTGTGAGGGTTTTACGGGGATTATCCTAATGGACCCTTAACGTTTCATATTTGTGAAGTAGACCCCGAATCTTTTATGAGACTAAGGGTTGGGAAACACTTCCTAGATAAATTCCATTCAAATTTTTATCACTATTAACTCTTAATTAAATTGTACTAATATCCCCGTGGTTAGATTTTTCATAGAGAGAAAGGCTAAAAAAAAGAAGATATTGAGGAAATGAAAGGGGGATAGTGGGAAATACGAAGGATTATTAGATATTGTATTGTCTAGGGTGCTTCTGTTTATTTTTAAAAAATAGTTAACAATAATGTTTAGTAAAAATAAATTTTGCCTGAGGCTTATTGAAATTATTTCTTTTAAAAGCAACCTGATAATATTTTTAAAAGCATCTTTTGTTTTTTATAATTTTAATACCGTACATACCCTATAGCTTTTGATTGTGTTTTCATTACTTGTTATAGTCGTTTTAGTGATGAAAAATAATCTTCAATCAATGGCAGACAAGCGTCCTACATTATGCATAATCAAGTCAGCATTTTAAGATAATTAGAGGCCCAATTCGGTCGACTCGACAAACCGACATCTTGCGAGGATGACTCGAAAGGTGTCACGTGTCGACGACCCGAAAGTCGTTGCGTGTCGACCCCTGGCTAAGCCGAAGCTTGTGAGGATGACTCGAAAGGCTCTATTTCTCGACCACCTGATGAGCAGAAAGGCGACGAAATGCCTCGAGCCCCCTCCCGTGCACTGTAGATCAATCACCTCGCTATAAATGCCATTAAATGTATTATTGGCGTCACCATTCCTCCATCCCCCAATAGTCTTGATGACGCACTGGACCACATCTGCACCGCACACCCCCAATCACTTCGTATTAAATACTGAAGTGACATCTCCTCCACTCGTCGGCCGACGCCTGTAAACCAGATGCTGATGTGGCCGTCATCCCATACTCGACCGATATTACCATTCTACCCTTCTACCACCACTATAAATAGGGGTGCTTTTTTTAACGAGAGGGTAAGTTTTTTATTACTACTCACCGTGCTTAAAAACTATTGCAGTTCATTTTACTTCTCCGCTCAAGCAAATTACTGACTTAATCGTCGGAGAAACAACGGGGAAACCCAACCACGCCCTCTTACGATTTGCTACTTGTGTAGAGAAGAACAATTTACTCTAAAACCAAACATTCGGGGGGTTAGAGGACCTCTGTTAATCACTCTTTTTATTTAACTATTTGATATCAGACATCAACATTACCAATAAATATGCATTTAAAATAATATATATTTTAACCATTTTCACTTATATTGATTTTTAAACACAGTTTTACCAAACGACCTGTCTCAGCAACCCTACATACTTATATAAGCTTCAACACCACCAAATTAACTAGTCCTTGACAATATACAAAGCACGCTAAAAAAAAGTAACAGTAAAAGAGTAGCTGTAGTTAAATCTAACAATGAGGCGTTTTTTATAAGAATTTCAAATGTTTGCGGGTCTATTTTAGAAACGCGAAGATGTAAGGGTTGAACCTACAATTAGCAATGATATGGTATCTAAAATGTGACAAAACCCCTTAACAATGAATTTTTTTTGGTGTCGAGGAACGGGGTGAGAAATAAGAGGAGGAGAACGACAGCTGGCCCGCCACGAGATCGTCGGTGACGGTCAGAGGCAGCGCACCTGAATTTCGTACGGTGGGTCCCGGAATAAGGTGGGTCCAGAACGTCGATGTTGTGTGAGTATTTGGGTGTAAGTGAAATTTCGTGCAAACAGTGCTGCGTTGTTGTCGTCCTTGGTGTTTGTTGGTTTGCGTTGAAGTAGTATATTTTCCGTCGGTGGCATATTACTCGCTCAATAATGTGTCTAAAGACCGGCCAGTTAGTTGCGCGTATAAATCTTGTGAATTAATTTTTATAATAGATTTGTTACGTAGTTTATTTGATTGCGTCTTTTATATTCAAATAACTAAAGCGAAATTACTAATTTGATTCAGATTGAAAATTGATTTTGAGTCAGAAAAAGTTCAACCAAAGTGGATATATGATGATGATTAATGAAAAGTAAATCTGCGTAAACTGAAAGTAGGGATGAAAAATTATTCTAGTAAGCAACCCAAAGTATAAACAAGAATATCACAGACACGTACAAAAATTGGCTCTAATCTAAGTAATAATTAATGACATAAATGATAAATATCACTTTTAACTATAACCATCTAATTGGATACTCGCTAATGTGACTTTAACGTGAGAAGAGAGGCCCCTTTGTACGTTAATTATAATCACATGAAATTATGTAAGAACTTTACACAAGCCGTTTGCGATGTAGTTAGAATTTTAAATTCAGTAACTTTTTTTTTCTTAACCATAACTTCATTGCAGGTCCAACACAAGATCTGAAAAAAATTATTAATATTAAAGCAGAAATAGCCTAATAAAACAACGAGATAGATAGGGAACGTTGCAATGTTACCCCAATAACCCAACTAAAACGAAAAAAAAAAACTAAAAAAATTCTATTCGAAAAAGAAAAACCTACTCCTCAGCCCTATTACAAAGTAGTGGAGGGATCATTATATTGATCTTAATCGTCTATCATTTAGCGGGTGATTATGATTACTCTTCTTGAATTCAAAATAAAAATGAGCACGATTCATAAGATACTGTAAGTTTTAAATTTAGTATGAATCGTAAACACGCAATTGACACAATCAACTACTATAGTTAAAAATAGTGGTTTCTCCCTAAAAAATAAAAATAGTGATATCTTCATTACTTTTTTATAATAGAGATGATCCGAATTCTCCTTTAATTATATTTTCACTGAAAAAAGTAAATGGAAAATGTTATAATTAAGTTCTGGATAAAAAACATCATATTTGCACGTGCCTGGTATTTAGTAGTGCCGGCTTCATGCTACATGAATCTGCTTACTACAAGATTCGTATCCACATGACTCATACATCAACCAAAAGGCCCTTGTTGCTTCACAATTTATCTCAAAAAAGAGAGAGACCCTTTATTTTTCTTGTAATCAAAGTTTCGGATAGATTACAAATTACAGTACTAAAAACTAATCACAGAAAGAGAAACTTTAATAAACTCTACACGCCAAGTGTTGATTTATCAAATAACTTCACTTTTTTGCTTGTTGGTCTTTTTGAAAGATTCATGCTAATCAGTTTCGTCAGAGGAAAGTAGAAAGATGTTCTAACCTCCAAGTAACTCAAGAAAGGGTACCATGTCCGCTTTAATCGTGGAAAACCCCTTTGGTACCTCCACCGGCGGATCCAGGATTTTAGTTCTGGGGGGCCGCGTACAAAAGATAGATGAAAATTTTTCTTAATGTAATTTTATTCACAAAAAATACACCACAACCTAAACAAAACGAGTAGAATAGCTCCAAAATATTTCAAAAGTGGAAGACAAAAATTATGTAGAATGATTATATTTTAATTTTTAAGGGAGGAGGTTTTACAGAAATCACCCTATATTTTTTTCCCAAAAATTTCGGGCGGTCGTGGCCCCACCTGGACTGTATATAGATCCGCCCCTAGAGCCGCGTGCCGTGAATAGCATAGTACTGTTTTTTTTATGCAACCACTTTCTTTTGTGGTGCGCTTGGTATTATTAGCTATTTTTATTTTTCGGGGTTTCCTTTGCCTGTTTTCTTGGCTTTTGTTTAAAAACATTTTATGATGTTGTTAATTTCTATCAAGTTACCTGATATTTTTTATGACATTTTCATGACATTTTTATTTTATTGATATTTTAAGATATTTAAATTATGATTTTCATGACATTTTATGATGTTGTTAATTTCTACTTAATTGCTCTTCGTAAGGAGGTAACAAACCGGGCCCCAAGAACTTTCCCACTTTACCCGCAACTTTGAGGTGAAAAAATGGTGAACCTTACTGAAGTCTTTCACGTCACAATTAATATTAGGACATCTTAACAGTTGCAACCCATTTGTGCGATAATTAATACTATTCAAGACCGCAAGTTGTCTACGACAAAATATCTATTTCAGTCACATTTTTATTAAAAGAGACTTCACAGCCGCTCGGACCTTGAAACTGGTAAAAAAAATTAAAATTTAAAAAAAAAAAAAGCGAAGTTGTTGAGAGTCGTCACCAGCCAAAATTAAGAAATTAGTGGAGCTGTTGGGTAGTCTTTCATTTTTGAGTGACCAAGCATGATAAATATATAAATTAAGTAAATGACAAAAAGAAGTAATACTGAA